TTCTGTCCGTGGCCTGGGCCAGAGTTATTTTTTCTCGTCAAACCAGGTTCCTTTGGGATTATTGTTTCGCGTCCACTTCGGCGAGCCTGCGAGGTAATCGGCGGCGTGGCGACGTTCTCGCATCCCCCCGTCAGGCTTGCGATGGGCCTCTGGATCATGTCATGTGGGCGCGCGTGCCCTCCGAGCTCATCGTGCAGCTCGGCGCCGTTCCGAGGCCTGGGTGTGCTCCGTGCACGCCGTATGCCCTGTGGAGCAACGTTGCTCTCTGCTAGAGACGTGACGAGAAGTCGTCGGCCGCGGCTAGGGATTTAGTTTTTTGTGGTGTCGATCATGAGCTGTTGAATCGTCGCGGCGATGTTGGGCCGGCGCGCGGAAAGTTGCGCTGGGGTCGCGCTGGGCCAGCTCGGTGGACTGAGAAAAAGTTACAAGCTATTGACACACCGCCTCTTCGTGGGCCCGACGCATACGCGCGATGAGCGCGCGCGTGCTTGCCTGCCTCGAGAGGGTTATGGATGTCGCGCGCAATGCTGCTCAATTTCCAGCTCGCCTCATCTCCGCCATTGCAGGTTTGTGCTGGCACTCAGGTGGCGATGCTGACGCAGAACGCGCGCTCCTGGCTGAGCTGGCTAAGGACTTGCAGGGTTTCTCGTGAGTCCCTAGAGCCAACTGGGTCCTTGATTTGTTTGGTGCTTCTGAGCAACCTACGATTGCAGATTTTGCCGATGAGATCTGCGCGAGCGGTTTCCAGGGCACGGCGGGCGCAGTCTTGCGCCAGGTGGATGCTGTAATTGCCACCGTCGCGCGTGTCAGTTCTGTAGAATCGGGCCACTGGGCGCAGCGGGCCGTCGCTGCGGGTGCATGTCTTGCCCGCTGGTACTCTTAAGGTTAAAGCCTTGCAAGAAGTGCTTGGCCACGCAGATGCGCGACCGTCTCATCAGATGTCGGATGGGTGCGTGGGTTTTGGGAAGGATGTCCGGACCGTCCGTGGCGACGAGCAGCCACCTGGGCCGTCTGACTGGCACGGGGGGGGCATTGCCTGCCATCAGCGCCAGCGATACTAGACGCGCTACTCGCAAATTCAAGCTGCGCGCGGGGCTCGGACAAGTGAATTTCCAGCCGCGTGCTCTTGAATGTTTCTCGGATTTCCTTTCCGCGGCTGTGGCTGAGTTACCCATGGAATGCGAAAGTTTGTTTTGCTGGCCTGATGACAGCTCGGGCACGATTCTTGCCCGCTTGCCCATGCCGGGCGGCGGGCGCCGAATCGTTGCGCTTATCAGTGCCACCACCAGATTCTGGAGTAGACTGCGCAGACCAGGTTCACAGGCTTGGGAACTACAGCGTCCGTCAGATTTCCTTTGGGGGCCCGGTCAGGGGCCGCGTCCGCGGGCGCCGCCTTCCAGCGCGATTCGATTGCGGAGGTGGCCAAATCGCGAGGGCGCGAAGCAGTCAGTGCTCTCGCATGGTATGTACTCACATGTCGAACGTATGTTGCTCGCTTTTTCCTTGGCCACGCCCGACACCCGCAATTGTTTTGCGAGGCTGGCGCGGATGCTATCATCGACGCACCAAGCGCCGCGAGGGGTCAGGGCTCATGGATCATCAGCCACATTTCGTTCATGCCAAGGGATCCTGACGGGCTGCAGCCTTGCAGGTGCGATGGCCCAGCTGCTGCATGTCAATGCTCTTGCACATGTGGGGAAGCGCGTCGCAGATGTCGTCTCCCGTGCGTTCGTGGGCGACGTTAGCTTCGAGGGGTTTGGTGAAGATATGGGTCAAGCAGCATCGTTGTTTCGAGCCGTCAAGTGGGTCGCGAAAGAGGCTGTTCCATGTGGCATCATCGTGCAGGTCGACAAGTCAGGTTGCGTCGCCAGCCCGCAGAGAGCGAAAGCATCCATTTCTCGTCTGCCCAGGATCTATCTCTCGATGTGCCCAGGCGCTTAATCACAAGGTTTTCGAAAACATGTGCAACCTTGGGCGCGGGCTGGCAGGCAGCAGGCTGCGCGGGATACAGGAGCGAAAGCGCATGGCCGCGGCGTTAGCACGTGAGTCTCGCTTGAGGGCTCTCGGTCGGGCATTCCATGGCAAGGTGCGTGCTTAGTGGCGCGCGGGCCTGCTGCCGGCAGCTGCGCATGGCGCAGGTGCCGGCGGGGTGGCCCCCGCCGCGCTCGCCGCGCCCCGCAGTCTAGCAGGGGCGCTGGTGGGGCGAGACAGAATGCCAGTGTCGCGGCATGGTTGGCCATTCATGCGGACGGCTTCTACGACCCGTCTTCGACGGCACTGCTCCAGGCAGGTCGGTCGGCATGCGGCCTTGATCTGGGACAGCGTCGTGTCCTTGGCGGCGCTGCAGCGTGCGCTCATGAGTGTCTTGCCGACTGTTCAAGAAGAGTGGAGTTGGTCCAAGGGTCGTGGACCTCTGTCGACTGTCGCACTTTCTCTGCATCGTATTGATCGGAGCATGGGGGCTGCCCGCGTGCCCCCCGCAGACATCGGCGCCGACGCGGGCCTGCTCGTCGCGTCACCGGCCGGGCTCGAGGGCTTGCCGGGGGAAAGTACTGGACGATGGCAGATGATGCGAATCTCAATGCGTGTACCTGGCGACCACAATATTCTGAAGGTGGGGCGGCGACAAGCCCTTCGTGCTGAGATTTTGGCCATCGAAGACCCCATTCGCACAGGCTGTGCCAGATGCCTCCTCGGGTCCGCGTTGTGGCTTCCTCAGCCAGGAAGAAGATCGCTGGTCATCGTGCGTCTGACACCTGCGAGCTCTGTCTGCGCGGTGCCCCTGGGGCCCCTGGGCGCCAGCTTTTCGAATGTAATGTCCTCCTGCGGCCTTCGTCGGAAGACCCCGACATAGAGCCCCATCGAACCCAAGGTTTTGGGGCGCAGGGGGTATCTGAGGGGCCTCGGGGGCAGTGGTCTCGGTGATTCCGGCTGGGGCGCGTTAGAGCTTGCTTACGGCATTCCGTATCTCCCCATCCAGACTCGCCGCCGCCATCGGTTTGTTCCGTGTCCTATTGGCGGGTAACGCACCAGCCGTGGGGCAGTCGTCTTTGCGCCGGCGGATCAGGACTCGGGAGCGCCTGCCCCGAACTCCGAAGGTGTGCCAAGGCTGTCGTCGGGCCCTCGGATTCGGGCTTCCCCGCCAGGGCCACGCGTGGGCCCTTGCCTGGGCGCCAGTCGGCGCCCCGTGCCGAGAGGCGCGCTGGTGTTTTCGCTTTGAAGGTTGCTCTTCAGCTCTGGGCCATTTACTATGATCATGTAATCTTCGAGGAAGGGCGGTGCTGGCACCCTGGCCTGGCGAGCGCTCGGAGCCCCCGTGCCGATCTCCGGCGATAGATCTTCCGGCTGCGTCATCCCAGTTGCACGCCCCCGTCCTTCGAGCGGGCGAAGGCTCGCCGCTCGTTCGAATATGTGCTGGGCCAGCCGGCCGACGCCATTTTCAATTTCCTCGACGACTCCCGGGCTAACTTCTCTGCCGGGCTCGGAACACATTGGCGCCAGTATGCCTGGTTCGCGGTCGATGCCGAGCGCCAGCATGGTAAGCAATGCAAGAGCTTTTAGAGGTCCTGTCGAGCGTTGCCCAGATAGCATGTGAGCAGCTGTCTTGTTTGGATGCCGCATCCAGTCAGGACGCCAAGACGCTGAGACACACCTCTCTCCAAGTTGTCAATCATGCTTTGCTTTTCATTACCCCTGGGCGGTCGGAGTGGAGGCGTCGTGCGTGTGATATCTCCGCTACCACCGAGTTTGCCTTCACGGGTTTTCTTAGTTGGGCCAGCAGGAGGTGCCAGCCGACGCATGTGCAGAAGTGGCGTGCTGACCAGCTTGTTTTGCTGCACTCCGAGGTGACCCACTTCGCCTCCCAGCCTGCGCCCGTCAATGACAGTTGCGTTTCGAGCGTCCTGGGGCCGAGCGGGTCCAGCGGGCCCGAGGTGTTCATGGGCCAGGACGGGTGCAGACAGTCTGGGCTGGAAGTTTGTGAAGCTTTTGGGCTCGTGCCTGTCAGGCATCGTCGTGCAGGAAATTCAAGCAGCAGTGTGGTGGTGTTGCACTTCACAAAAACACCGTGGCCCCACACGCCCGTCTACTGCGGAATGCTGCCCTGGGTCTGCACCCCAGCTGTGCGATTTGGGCCCCCCGTGCTGTCTCCCAGCAGGTGACCCCGCCGCCCGTCCTTGGGCCTCGTGGGGTACCTGCCGGGGCCGCTGGCGGCTCGGCCGCGTGCGAGCTCGACGATGTGCTTGCCCTCGCCATCCCCGCGGGCTTCCGACGGGCCACGGTGCCGTCCGTGATCGTTTCCCGCGGCGATGTGGACAGCTCGGACCAGGGCGTCGCGCTCTGCACGAGCACGGTGGTCTTTTCGTTGGCCGCTCGCTTGTGCTTGGAGCCTCTCTGGCCGACTCTCTGTCGGCTGCCTGGGTTCCTTCTGCGCTGCTCCGCGGTGCTAGTCGCTCACGAGGGTTGGCTTCTCAGTCCGCCTTCCCGCTGTCTCCATCATGTGTGTGTGCGCTGCTATCGACTCGACTGCACCATGGTACGCTTGCTCGTTTTCCTCCTCCCTCCAATTTGTGGTCTTCCTCTTCCCCTTTCCTCGCGAGACAAGTCATGATCTGGACGCCCGTCCAAATAGTTGCTCGGGGCTTCTGTCCTGGAGTCCGAACAAATTATTACGACGCCCGGGTCTGAGTACACTGCACTCTCTCCCTCTCGAAGCCGCCCTCCTAACACTTTTCCTTCCTCGTCCGTCGTTTTCCTCCTCCTCCTCCTCCTTCTCCTCCTCCTCCTCCTCCACCTCCTCCCCCCTCGCTCGAATGTCCTCGAATGTCCTCCACCTCCTCCTCCTCCTCCTCCTGTGGGGATTTTGGTGCTGCCTGACTGCTTTGGAGGATTCTCGGCCCCCCCCTGGGTCGTCGAGCCTTCCCTGCGGTCCGCCCAGTCGTCGTCGCTCGCCCCTCGGTCCGCGGCGCGCGAGCCGCGGTGGCGGGCGGGCGGGCCCGCAGGCCGGCTGGTCGGAGTCGGAGCTATGCCGTGTGCAGACCATCAGCACCAGGCCCTCCCGTCGGCGCGTCCTGCACCGGGCGCGTTTTGTCTCCGTGTCCTGAGCGTGTTTTCTCGGTGCGATCGGAATGGGTACGAAAAGATTGGGTACCAAACACGAAATCAGCTCCACCTTTTTTTATACAGGGTTCGCTGCCGGCATCGCCGCGGACGTTGCCCATTTCAGGCAGAACGCCGCCTGCCCAACAGCGGCCGCTGTTGGCTTAGGACATCACAACATTCGCTGCTGGGCATCGTGCCATGTCATTCCGTATTTATTCTGGGAGCCCAGAGTTTCGTGTGTTTGAGGCTGTTTGCGCCATCTTCGTGCCGAAGAGTCTCCACGCCTTTACGCCTGATGCTCAGTATCGTTGAACCGATCCCTGTCCCCATTCCCATCCCCATCCCGATCCCCACCATCCCACCGCCCCAGTTGGGGATCTGCCCCTCGAAGCCCGAAGGGATGGTAAATCGGCCAGTTGGGCCCAGGCCACGCCAGTGGGGATAGGGATCGGTTAAGCGATGCTCGGATGCATCCGTCCGCGTTCCTCCTCTGCGGCCGCCCTCCTCGTTCCCCTGGCTTCTGCGTGTCCTCGCTCACGATGCTGCCCGCCAGCGTTCCAAAAGTGCGTTGGCGCCCACCCTCGTTGCTGATAACTGGTTGATTCGGGCACTCGCAGAGGGGGGCAGGGGGAGGGGGGAAGGCTTCTTAAGAAGCACCCCTGCTTCTTAGATGTCATGGCGCCAACATCGCAGAGCGGAGTTCCTTTGGAAAACAAGGTGATAGGCCCAGATTGTCCTGGAGAATGTCGCTCCGGATTTCGAAGTGAATTTCGTGCGGATATGTTTTGGCCAGGTATGAAGATTGCAACCATCCAATGCAATTCAACTTCGTTTTTCGCCCGCCGTTTCGGGCCTTTGCTCTAGCATAAGTCCACGAACACATTCGCTGCAGCACGTCTGCAAGGTCGGTGCAGTGATAGATGGTGCGGTCCTTATCTACAGATGTACGGCCCGTACCTTCTGAGACGCAGGGGTCCTGCTAAGAAGTCTTCCTTTTCCCCCTACCCCCTGGTGCGCGCCGCCAACTGATCTTGGTTATTACAAAGATTTTGTGACGCCCCGCCTCCTGCAGTTAGACACTCGATCAATCACCCGCTTCCTCCTTAGACCTACTCGTACTAGCTCTCAAGTGTTCGATGATGTTCCGACGCGCGCACAGGCTCGTCCGCTGAGGCTTTGTCGCGTTCAGACTGACTCATATCGTATTCATGTATACCAGGCTGCTCACACTCAAACTCGCTCACCGTCCGCCAACCCCCTCGGACCCCCCCTTCAAATCTACCCATACACAGACTCACTCACATGTAGACCCACTCAAACCGCACTGACTCATATTCAAATCCACGCAGACTCAGACCACTCAAAGCATCATGGTCGCAGCGATGTAGCAGTGATCGCAGTTGGGGCTTCTCAGGTATCGCATGCCCACTTGGAGCGGTGGGCGCGTCCCACTTGGAGCGGTGGGTGGTCCCCCGTTGGGAGCCCCAGCATCTGGGCCTCCCACCGGGGGACCACCCCGAGGTATGACTCAGGCCCGTTCGCGCCCGCGCGCCCGCGCGCCCGCGCGCCCGCGCGCCCACGCGCCCACGCGCCCACGCGCCCACGCACCCACGCGCCCACGCGCCCACGCGCCCACGCGCCCACGCGCCCACGCGCCCACGCGCCCACGCGCCCACGCGCCCACGCGCCCACGCGCCCACGCGCCCACGCGCCCACGCGCCCACGCGCCCACGCGCCCACGCGCCCACGCGCCCACGCGCCCACGCGCCCACGCGCCCACGCGCCCACGCGCCCACGCGCGCCACGCGCCCATGCGCTCACGCGCCCGCGCGCCCACGAGCACGAGCACGCGCACGCGCACACGCACACGCACGCGCCCACGAGCACGCGCACACGCATACGCACATGCACACGCACACGCGCACGCTCACGCGCACGCGCACACCCACACACGCACACACACGCACACACACGTACACACGCCCACACGCACACACGCACACACACGCACACGCACACGCGCGCGCGTCCGCGCGTGCGCGCGTGCACGCACGCGCACGCGCACGCGCACGCGCACGCGCACGCGCACGCACACGCACACGCACACGCACACGCACACGCACACGCAGAAGCAAACGCAGACGCAAACGCAGACACAGACGCAGACGCAGACGCAACGTCACACGCAGACGCGTGCGCACACGCACACGCACACGCACACGCACTCGCACACACGCACACACGCACACACGCACACACGCACACGCGAACCCACGCACACGCACACGCGCACACGCGCACATGCACACGCACGCACGAACGCGCGTGCATGCACGCACGCACAAAACCACAGATACACAGACATACGTACACATACACACATACACACATACACACATACATACTCGAGCACCTTTGCACACACCCGCACACACAATCATAATCACACTCACACTCACACTCACACTTACGCAATCGCAATCGCAATCACAATCAAACTCACAATCACAATCACAGTCACAAACACAAACACACAATCACACACATTCTAACACACATTCACGCACACGCACGCACGCACGCAGACACACACACAGGCAGACACAGACACATACACAGACAGACACAGACACAGACACAGGCACACAGACGAACAGTAGCACAGACACGCAGACATACAGACACGTAGAAACAGACACGCAGACACACAAACACAGACACGCAGACACGCAGACACGCAGACACAATCACACAGACACACAGACACAGACACGTAGACACACAAACACACAGACACACAGACACACACACACATTGACACACACACACACACCACACACACACACACCGCACACACCGCACACACCACACCACCACACACACACACGACACACACCACAGACACCCACACACCCACACTCCCACACACCCACCCAACCCACACACCCACCCACACCCTCCCACACACCCACACTCGCACACACCCGGACACCCACACACCCACACGCACACAGTCCGTCGAAGCGCGGCAGAGGCAATCCGCACTCGCTTTAGTATCTAGTAGCCCAGGGCGTGGCGTACGAATTGTCCGGCGGCGCGATGGAGGAAGGTAGGCGGAGGGCGGCCGCAGACAGCGGGCGGGGGAGGAGGGCATTCGCCGGACGAAGACCTTCGGCAGGAGTGGCCAGAGCGGCCGGCCATTGCTGAGGCGTCTTGGCAGTGGACGTGGAGCGGCATCGCGCCCACGCCCAGGGGCTGAGGCAACTGACAGCGTAGAGCAAGTCGAACCAGTCCAGGAGGGGAGCGGCGAGCGAGCCCACTGACGCGGGTAGCATCCAAGTTCGGGTATGGCCAGGACCCCGGGTAAGGGGACCTGGTTAGTGGTAGGGCCTTGGGACCCCTCAATCGGCCAGATTCACTAAAGCAGGTTTGCCGTAGCCGGTGTCTTTCGGGTGACGGCAGTTCCGGTTGGTGGAAACGGCACGGGGGGGCGCCCCCGGTACAAATCACTAAACCAGGTTCCACTAAGCCCAGTTCTGCCAACGCCCGACCAGTGTTCGTCAGAAGGCCGTGGGTGACGGGCATTGCTGCGGTGCGGCGGCAGCCAGATGCGGGAAGGCCAGCGACCACGGGGGCTGGCCAGCGACTAGCTCGCGGCAGCAAGATGCTGCTAAACTGCCGCGCTGAGCTGCTGAGGGCCGACCTGCAGGAATTCTGGTTGGAACGCTTCTGGGGGCGGCGCGCGGAGCTGCCAACCGCCGGGGGCTGCTGAGCAAGGCATTTCCTGCAGAGGTGGCGCGGCTGGCGAGGAGCCGCCAGCCGGTGCAGGAACCAGGTCGGCGGCAGGGCGGCGAGAGGCGGGAATGAGAAAGCCGAGCTCGGCCGGTGCACGCATCGCTGCCGGGTGTGGCGGGAACGCCCAGCCACAGGGCTGGCGGGGCGGGGGCGGCCATCTGCAGGAACAGCGGGGCAGGGGCGGGGGAGGGCGGCCGACCTGGCTGGCAACGCGGACGGGGGCCTCTGACTGGGACGCCCAGCCGCAGAGCCGGCCAAACGCGGGCGCCCAGCAGCAGGAGCAGCCGGCTGTGCCGAGCAAGCGCTTTTCAGCACTTGACAGCCAGGGGCCGCTGGGGGCGGCACTGGCGGGACGCACGGCTGACGGGAGGCAGCCGCGGGAAGTGCCATTGGATTTGGCTCAGGGGCCCCATCCAGGACCCACTCGACCGGCTGAGGATGCCGCGCCAGCAATGAGCACAACGACCGAGCCACTGACCACCCAACTTGCCTTGGAACCTGGGGCCTGATCGGTGCGCATACTTCTGTGGAGCCACCCACCCTTGGGCGCTCCAGTCGAGACGCGCGAAAACCAGTGGCAGCGCACACCTGGGGGAGCGGGCGCTCCGGGATGAGGGGGAGATATCCACCTGGGGGGTGGACGCACCCGTAGTAAATCAGGAGGGAAAGAAACACACAGACACAATTAATCGTCGGTTTTCCAGAAAATATGGGAAAATATGGGAAGTGGGGGGGGAGACAAAAACCCAGAAAATATGAGAAAATATGGGGAATATTTTTATTTGTGTGTATTTATTTGTGTGTTCTGGGGGCCCTTTAGTAAAGGAGAGGGGGGGCGCGCCTCGTGGGGGAAAAGTGCATGACGAGGCACCTGTTGGGAACGCGTGCGGGTAGACGGGCAGGGGGCTTACCTGGAGGGGCAGACCAGCCTACGAGCCATCATGGGCGACCGAAGACACTGCCAGGTAAGGCTCGTAGGCCCAGCCACTGCTAGACCTGGGAGCCATGCACCTGAACATAACTGGCCGGGTACGTGATGTCCTGACATGCGGTATGGAATCCGTCATCGTCGCAGGCGGGGTGGCAGGGCACCCCTGGCCGCGGGGAGGCGCCCCTGCGCAATCTCGGCCGCGCAACCTGGCTGAGGGCAGATTCTGGGGTTTCGATCCCCCGCGCGCAGGACTGGTCCCCAGCTGGCCAGGAGGCGCCGGCTAGCACGCTTGCCTCCCCTGGCCTTTCCCCCCTCCTACGCGCGCCTGTCGCTCCTGCTTCCAGCGCCACACGTCGCCTCAGTTACCGTCAATGCGCTGGTGCCGGCAGCAGCCTCGTATGTCGCAGTAGGAGGCGCACAGGTCTCGGGGGTGGACAGAACCCCCAATAGTGACACGTCGATTAGTGAATTGTCCGTTTTCGGTTCTCGAGAGGGCGCCGTGGCCGTTATTTTCCAGGCTTGCGCCCGCCAGGTTTGGGCCCCAGGTCGTTTTCACTAAACCACGTTTTACTAAAGGGAGGTCTGTCCATCCCCGAAGTTAACGTCAATGCGCTGGTGCCGGCAGCAGCCTCGTATGTCGCAGTAGGAGGCGCACAGGTCGGCCGGGAGCTGGCTGCAGAACTGGGCGACACCGCCAGGGTTGCAGCGGCCCTTGCCCTGTTGCCCTGCCGTCCCGCACGTCGCGGGCGGGCTGCCCATGGGAGCACGCATGTCTCCTGCGTTCCGCCTCCGCGTCTGCGTCCGCTTTCGCTCAGGAGGGAAAGAACAACACAGACACAATTGATCGTCGACCCCCCAGAAAATATGGGAAAATATGGGAAGTGGTGGGGACGACCCAAACCCAGAAAATATAGGAAAATATGGGGAATCTGTTTATTTGTGTGTATTCATTTGTATGTCCCAGGGCCCCTTCATTTCGCTTCTGCTTCCGCTCCCGCGCTCAGCGTTCCCCGCGGTGGCACGCTGACTGTGCCCCGGCGGGGCAGCGCCAGCAACGGGCATCGGCGCCCGCCGCGCGGGCAGCCGCCGTGCCCCCGGGCTGCCAGTGCCGGCCGCGCGCTGGAGCGCCGCTCTCTCCCACGCTTTCTCGGAGAGGGGGCCCAGCCCAGCCAGTCGATGCTCGTTTGGATCTGTTCGACTCAGGTTCGACTCAGGTTCGACGCAGCTTCGACGCACGAGTGGAGCGAGTGGCTCCCGGAAGGTCCCCAGAATGAGCATCTAAGAGCCAGGGTGCATTTCGATCCGAGCCACCCTGTTCGAGATCGGCTCTGGCCTGCCCGATCCGGCGTTTTGATTCTGATGCTTGGGCGATCCGACGTGGCCCCCACTGCTCGCACGTCGCCGTCGCGCACCTTGGCGCCGCCGATGCGCTTCGGTCCCGACGCCGAGCCGACGCGGTCCGATCCGACGCACGCTTCGGCTCGAGCCGGCCTCCCGATCCGATGCCGACTGGTTGTCGCGGGGGGGGGGCGTCCGAGGCGGCGGCGGCGGGTCGAGGTTCGAACTGTTTCCTCAAGCTTGTCTGCAATCGATGTAGTAAGGCATCGAACATATAACTGAAGAGCCCTTTACCATCGAAACGCAATAAGAAGACGCTGCCTCTCTTAGGCCCCCGTCTTTGCATCAGGGAGAGTCAGTCAGGGCTGTTTGGTTCGGTACTTGCACCTGCAGAAGAGGCCCCCCTGTCTCTAATGTTGAGGGTCCTCCTAACTTAGGTGCCCTCCCAAAGGGTTAGGGATACTTTTGATGTCTATCAGTAAGTGGACTGCCAGATCCGGAATCGACCGGGCGACGTGTCCTCCAGTGGCCTCCCGAAGCCTCCCATGACTGCTCGGGGGTCTGCCGGATCCAGAGTTCAGAGCCAGTCGTGCGGCGTGGTCTCCCGTGGCTTCCCCGTGCCATCCTGATCTCTATCCTTCTCCCTCTGCCTCCATCCCTGTCCCTGTCCCTGTCATTTTGCTCCCTATCCTGTTTCCCTATGCCCATCTCTATCCCTGTATCCCTATATCCCTATGTCTCTACCCTCCTATCCCTATACCGATACCCCCCACTGTGGCCCCCCATCGTGGCCTCCATCGGAACCGTGTTATGCTGTTTTGGGTCTTCTGCCGCAATGGTGCGCTTTCTGGCGTTTTCGTCCGTCCCCGACGGTTGTCCGGCCTCGGGATGATCTCCAGCAGCTGCGCTTCGCTGAGAGCGTTCGTGGCATGCCTGGTTCGTCCAGGTCGGGGCTGGGATCGGAGTCGTGACTCGAAAGCCAGGCGACCCGGAAGTCGGAAGGGGGCCCAGCCGAGGCAATGGCGGGCCTCCCGGGCGTCGTGCTATATTGTGAAGGCCTGACGGCCGGTGCCGCCGACCCCGAAAGACATCGACGACGACTAGGAGGAGGAGGAGGATGAGGAGGAGGCGGAGGAGGAGGAGGCGGAGGAGGAGGAGGAGGAGGAGGAGGAAAGTGACTCCTCCCCTGGCACTCCCCCCCTGGGGAGGAGGACCGGGCGTCCTGCTACATTTTGCCTCTTGCCTCCTGGTGTGTTCCAGGGCTCGTTTTGATTCCTCCGATTCGATTCGATTCGACTTCGACGGCTTCCGATTCCGATTCGATTCGACTTGGGATTCCGATGTGGGTTCCGATTTCTCGTTGGAGGCAAACTAGCCTGCCGATTTCCGCCGATCCGACTTCTCCCGACTCGGCTGCCGATTTCCGCCGATCCGATCCACTTCGATCGCCGATCCGACTTATCGATTCGATTCTGGGCTCTCCTGTGTTCTCGTCGCCACGGCCGGCTCCGCTCCGAAGGCCATGGCCAGGGTGGGCCCCAGGAAGGTTGTCCGAGAGGGCAGAGTCTAAGAGCGGAGGGCGGCCGTGATGACCCGTGCGCCCGCGGCGCACGCAGGCCAGCACCGAGGCCATCCGATGCACGCCTGCTCCCGCCGTCATTGGGGGGAGCGGAGGCGCGAGGCCTCAGCATGAGGAGGAGGAGGGGGAGGAGGAGGAGGAGGAGGAGGAGGAGGAGGAGGAGGAAAGAGAGAAGGAGGAGGAGGAGGAGGAGGAGGAGGAGGAGGACGAGGAGGACGAGGAGGAGGAGAATACGAGGGAGGAGGACGCACGCCTGGAGCGTGTTTCTTTACTGCTTGGGGCATGGTGGGCATCATAGCCCCCTTCCCCCCCCCCTCCCTCCCCCCCCGTATAACGTAACGCCCCTCCCCCCCCCTGAGTGCGCTTCGGGCACTGCCGCCGTGCACATCGGGCACTCGGCGGGGGGATCCCCCCCCCTTTATCCCCATTATCGCCGAAAATAATAAACGCGCTCGAGGCCATCCACGGACGCACGCCTGCTCCCGCCGCCCCTGGGGGGAGCGGAGGCGCGAGACCTCAGGAGACTGTCAGGCGATCGCAAACACGGATCAGGGGGCCGTGGATTAGCGACGTGCCCCGCTTCCGTGGGAAATCTCGGCTTGCCGCCGCCGGGCGAGGCGGCACTGGCCGCATTTTGGGGAGGGCACCTCCCCCGATCCGTGGGTTTGGCGACCGCGCGCCGAATCCATGGATCGCTAATCCATGTTTGCGCGCCCCCGAGACTCAGGAGACTGGGGCCAGGCGGAGGAGAGCGGCCGTTACCTCCACCGGTGGCCTGCGTGCGCGCGGCGTGCGGCCCTTTTGTCGTCTCGCACCTCCCGGAGGAGCAGAGAGGAGTGCCAGCGGCACGCTCTGCGGCCGGAAGCCCGTCGTCGGCGTGCGCCACCTCCTCGATCCTGTCCGAACGCCTGGCGTCTCTTGGAGCCCCTCACGCGCTCTTGGGTATCTCGAAGAAGAGAGAGCTACATAAACATACACTTTTGGCGCACCGCGCGGATTTCTCGGATCCGCGCCCGGGCCCCCCCTGGCGGCGCCTCTGGCGCCGCCCCTGGCGCGCTCCGCGCGCCAGGGTGGGGGGTCCAGCGCGGATGCAAGAAATCCGCGCGGAGCGCCAAAAGTGTATGTTTTTTGTGGCTCTTTCTTTGGGCATCCCCCGCGGCGCCTTGCCATGGGTGCGGTGTGTTTGCTCCCCCTCGCGCAGGGTCCTTCCCTTCTCTCTCGTCGCGCAGGCGGTGGCAGGTGGAGGTGCCGGAGGGCCCAGACCTGGCGCGCTTCACCGTCTGGCAGCTGAAGCGGCTCCTGGAGGACCAGCACGGGCTGAGCGCGGACGAGCAGGCGGCTGGCGACGCATGTGAGGGAGTCGGGGCGCCGGCTGCGCGGACATCGGCGCACAGTCTGCGCGCGTGAGGTCGTGCACGGGGGGGAGGCAGGATCCATGCATGTGTTTCGGAGGGTCCACTGATTTTTTGCCGGAGGTCTCGATCCTTTTCCTGATGGTTCGGTCGGCTGGTTGGGTGGCCGAGTGGCCCGTTGTCCATTTGATTGGTTCGTTAGTTAGTTGGTTGGGTGGTCGGTTGGTTGTGTGGCGGGTTGGTTGGTCGGTTGGTCCATACGTTGGGTGGTTGGTTGCGGTTGTTTAATTTGTGGGTTAGTGGGTTGGTTGTGTTGCAAATCATGGGAGCCTGGTATACCGTCTCAATTCCGTCTTTAGCGTCGAGTAGCGTCAAGTGCGTTTGGTAATCAACGAGATATCGCCGAATTAGCGTCGATCCGCGTCGGGTAGCGTCAATTGGCGTCAATTGGCGTCGATTTAGCGTCGATCACCGTCGATTAGCGTCGAGTAGCGTCGGCCAACGAGATGACACGGGAGGCTTCTACGAGTTGCCACCAACGGTCGGTTAGCCAATCGGTTGATTGGTCTGTTAGTCGGGTGAATGGCGGCGCGACGCGGGCACGGCACGGCACGTCATGGTTTGGCTGCTCGGTCGAATATCCCCGCTGCCCCGCGGACTAGTTGGTCGGCTGGTTGGTTAGGCGGTTGGTTAGCTTGCCTGTTCCATTCCTGCCCTCGCATGGCAAAGCACGAGGGCGGACACAAGAAGCATGCCACTGTACTCGAACCGTGGCAGAGCTTGTGGGGAGGCATGCTATTCCATGGCATTCGCCACATGGCAACGCAGCGGGGCGTTTTTTGCTTCACCGCGAAGCGAAACACATTCTACTATTCTACTCGCCACGTGGCAACGCAGCGGGGCGGAAACACGGTCGGTTGGTCGGGTGGCCAGTTGCCCGGTTGATTGGTTGGTTCGTCGGTTGTCGGTTGGTCGTTTGGTTGCCCGGTCGGTTGGTCGGTTGGTTGGTTGATTCGTTGGTTGGTCGGTTGGTCGGTTGGTTGTTTGGTTTGTTAATTAGTTGGTCGGTTAAACCGTGGGTTGGGCGGTTCGTTGCGGTCGATTAGTTGGTTGGCTTGTCAGTTGGTTGGTCGGTTAGCCTCGGTTGATCGGTCTGTTGGTCGGGTGGGTGGCGGCGCGACGCGGGCACGGCACGGCATGCCATGATTTTGCTGGTTGGCCGGTTTTCCCGGTTGCCCCGCGGACTAATTGGTCGGCTGGTTGGTTGGTTGGTTGGTTAGTTTGCCTATTCTAGTTCTTTCCTCGCGTGGCAAAGCACGAGGGCGGACACAAAAAGTATGTCACTCTACTTGTTACGTGGCAGCGCCTGGGAGGAACGCCTACAATGAAATACCAGTCCACTCTACTCGTCAGTACGACTCTATTTCACTCTGCCCGCGGCACCGCAGCAGTGCGAGAAACATGCAATTCACACCATTCTAGTTCCCCGCGCCAACTTGCAGCGCCTGCGTGCGGAGAACAGTTGCCATTCCACGACTCGTCGCGCGGCCGCGCCCGCGGGCGAGGCACGCACTATGCCATCGTACTCGCTGTGTGCCAGCGCAGCGGGCGTCACATCAGTCTTGACCTACGTCTGCTCGTCACGTGGCAAGGCCTGGGGGCACAGAGAACATATAGGACTCGACGAGGTTCCTCGCTTGGTGGGCGACAGGGAGGAGGGAGGAGGGAGGGAGGAGGGAGGAGGGAGGAGGGAGGAGGGAGGAGGAGGAGGAGGAGGAGGAGGAGGAGGAGGAGGAGGATCGGAGAGGGGGGGGGACGAACTGCTGCACTCCCTTCGCTGCGTTGCAACAGAAGTGGGCGTAGCACATGCGACCCGAATCGCCACGTGGCAACGCAGCGGGGCGGACCTGGACTCGCCACGCGGCAACGCCTGATGGGGCGAAACGGTACGATTCTGTTCTTCTCGGCGCGTGGCATCCCAGCGGGGCGGAAACAGCACCATGCACTCGTACTCGTCACGTGGAGAGGCCTTCGGGGGGGGGGCGGGGGGCGAAGCAGATGCTGCTCTAAGCTGCCCGCTATGCGGCAAGGCAGCGCGGCGAGCAAGCTCGTATTCTGCTCCTACTCGTGACGTGGCAACGCTAGTGGACGGGATATGGATGATGATGATGATGATGATGCTGATGATGATGATGATGATGATGATGATGATGATGATTATGATGGTGGTGATGATGATGATGTGGCTGCTGATGCTGATGCTGCAGATGCTGATAATGACGCTGACGATGATGCTGCTGATGATGATGCTCATGATCATCATGATGCTGATGATGCTGATGATGCTGATGCTGATGCTGATGATGCTGCTGATGATGCTGGTGATGATGCTGCTGATGATGATGCTGATGATGAAGATGCTGCTGTTGGTGATGCTGATGATGATGCTGATGCTGATGCTGATGCTGATGCTGATGCTGATGCTGATGATGATGATGATGGTGATGATGATGATGATGATGATGATGATGATGAGGATGAGGATGAGGATGAGGATGAGGATGAGGATGAGGATGATGATGATGCTGATGCTGATGCTGATGCTGATGATGCTGATGATGCTGATGATGTTGATGATGACCTGCCCGCTCCTGCTCGTCACGTGGCAGCGCCTGCGCGGCGATAGCGGCCAGCGGTCGGCAGATCTGGGAAGCGGCGGCGGGCGGCGGGCGGCGCCGGGGCTCGGTGCTTGGCAGCGGGCGGCACAGCTCGGCACACCCCTCACACAGAGCGCGCCTCGGGGGCCGGGCGTGGCAGGCCTGGAGTCGTGATGTACCAGAACAGAACAGAACAGAAGCCTTGCGCCGGCCACAGCGCGTGAGCAATGGGTGAAAATGTGCACGGAAACGGATGCCTTCAGCACGCCGCCCATGCCTTGACCGCCTGCTCCCACCTGCGAGCTGCACCGCCCTCTCGGCGGAAGTGATCAGCAAGTCGCTCATGGGAGCCGGCAACATTCAAGCAGTTCTTCAGCACCATGGGCCCCCAAGACTGTCTCGGGCGGCCTCTTCGCTCGTGATGTTCCAGCCTACGTTTTTCGCTTTGACCACCAGGAAGAATGTCCAGCACCAGGTAAGTTTCGAAGCGGGAGGGTTTTCGCGTGTCGGTCCTTGTGAGGCGATGCTCGTGCGACACTGTTTCGATGCTGTTCTGGGTGCTCGGAATAATTGCTGGGATGTGGTCCTCAAGTACGTTTGGAAGAACATCAGCCTAGAGGTCGACACTAATGCCAATATCGGCGGTGTGCCTCCGCCGAGGGAAGAAGATCCCGATCTCGTTGATGGTGGTAGTATTTTGGCTTCCAAGGTGGCCTGGCTATTGCCGCCAATGCCGAAATCTAGGATCATCCTCCCCCTGTGAGGGCAAACCCCTGTGTTGGTGTTGGTGCCCATTTTTTCAGGCCTCCAATGACGAGCATTGCTTGGCGGACACCCAGGCCTCAAGCCAGCGTGCATGGGCCAATGTTCGCACACACACACACACACACGCAAACACACACGCCCGCACGCCCGCGCGCCCGCGCGACCGCACGCCCGCACGCCCGCACGCCCGCACGCCCGCGCGCCCGCACGCCCGCACGCCCGCACGCCCGCACGCGCGCACGCCCGCACGCCCGCGCGCCTGCACGCCCGCACGCCCGCACGCCCGCACGCCCGCACGCGCGCGCGCGCGCGCTCACGCGCGCACGCGCAGGCGCGCGCGCGCGCGCACGCGCACGCGCACACGCACACGCACACGCACACGCACACGCACACGCAACACGCACACGCACACGACACGCACACGCACACGCGCTACAACGCACACGCACACGCACACGCACACGGAACACGCATGCGCACACGCACGCGCGGCGCGAACGCGCGACACGCGCTTACACGCGCACACGCGCGCACGCTCGCAAGCCGCGCACGCGCACCGCGCGCACGAGCACACGCGCGCACGCGCACAAGCGCACCGAGCACACGCGCACCCACGCGCACCAACGCGCACACGCGCACACGCGCACACGCGCACACGCGCACACGCGCACACGCGCACACGCGCACACGCGCACACGCGCACACGCGACACGCGCACACGCGCACACGCGCACGCGCGCACACGCGCACACGCGCACACGCGCACACGCGCACACGCGCACACGCGCACACGCGCACACGCGCACACGAGCACACGCGCACACGAGCACACGCGCACACGCGCACACGCGCACACGCGCACACGCGCACACGCGCACACGCGCACACGCGCACACGCGCACACGCGCACACGCGCACACGCGCACACGCGCACACGCGCACACGCGCACACGCGCACACGCGCACGCGCGCACGCGCGCACGCGCGCACCGCGCACACGCGCGCACGCGCGCACGCGCGCACGCGCGCACGCGCGCACGCGCA